TTACCATGAAACTATTTATAGAAAAGACAGAGAGAAAAACAAGAAGTTGAAGAATCTGTTATATTCCGACACCGAAAAAGCCAGACACATATCAAATTAGATAATCTACCCATTTGTGAGCTGTTGCCACCCTAGAATTAGACATTATCAATCAGACATAGGAATTGATAGCTAGTGCTAAACATGTTTATATGGCTTTGTAGGTTGACAAGAAAACATTGAAACAAAACATTTGTATCCAATTCAAATGTTCTTTATAGCAGAAAAATATGAATAGCTCTAAAGACAAAAAAAAAAGTACAATTTCAGTAATCTTTTATTAAATCACTTAATTTAACAAACCACGTCCAAACCAAAGTAAATAAAAACAAAGTGAGTCTTTAAAATTTCATGTATTTCTAAACAAGTTTCAGCATATACAAGGGGGTGCTGACAAGTTCTCAGCCATTTCCAAAAATTTGACCAAATATCAGATTTTTTTTTTTTTTTTTTAATTCAACTTTTGTTTGAGCCCAAAACTTTTCAGCATCCTCTCATACAATAAAAAGAAAAATACATATTAAATTTAGTGCATTAATAAAATACTGGTTTGTTAAAAAAAAAAAAAAAAAAAAAAAATTTTTAAATTATGATTTTAAAAATTTATTTTTAGTTGGGGAAAAAGTCCCAAATTTTAATTGTCCACACTATAAATTTTGAAGGTATAGAAAATTATTTCTAATCATTTGTTTTTTAATGAAAAAGAAATGGTCAAAATTTTACAAAATGACCAGTGATTCTCAACCATCATACCACGGCCCTAGTGTCACATGATCCTCTTAAGTGTGCTGTGAAATAATTACACTATACATATGTGTATGAAACTAGTAATGGTTAGTATTTGAATAAATATTAAACTTTTTTTTTTCAAATAATTCTTTTCACTATTCTTGTTGTTTTAATATTCATTTTTTTTAAATTATTTTAATTTTTTTTAAGGGTTCAGAATGAAACATTCAACAGTATCCATTGATACAAAGGATTTCAATACAAAACGAATATCATACATTAGCTAAAAAGCAGTGGCAACTCTAGGTTATTAATGTTTGTCGAGCTCATTACAATCTTTAACAAAATATACTATTGGTATAACTTACACTATTTACATTATTCTGACTATTGTCCACATCTTTTGGCAACAAAGATGAGGACAATAGTCCGAATAATGTAAATAGTGTACATAATACCTCATCTCAGAAATATGGTATAACTTAGATGCTAAAAGGATTCCTTTAACTGAAATATATAATTTAAAAAAATCTCTAGCCATTTTTTTTTTTTTTTTTTTAAATAACGTGTTAAAATTTTGAGTGTGTTTATGTATCTCTCTAGAGCAGTGGTTCTCAACCGGGGTCTACATGGACCCTAGGGGTCCATGTAATATTTCCGGGGGTCCACAGGCAAAACACAATTGTTGTGTTAATTAAAAATAGTAATAATAATTATTATTATAATTATAGTAGAATATTTTATTTGTATTAAATTAGTTTTCATTTAAAAATAAAGCTTAATCGTATACTATTTCTTTGATAATTAAAACCTTAAAATTTATATTAGTGAAGAATAGAAAATTGTTCTTATGTCCAATAGCTATGAAGGGGTCCACCAAGATAAAAAGAAGGGGAAAGGGGTCCATGGGTAAAAAAAGGTTGAGAACCACTGCTCTAGAGTAATTTATTGGATGTTTTTGGGTCAGTAATATTGTCTCCAGCTCAGATAGGGCTAAGAGCTATATGCAGCTTAACTGGCTTAATTTTATTTCATTCTTTTTTTTAACTTACTTTTTTTCTTTTCTTTCTTCTTTATTATGAACAATACCAACAAAATGTATTTTGTTTGGTCAATATTTTAAATTTTGGATCCAGTCGAAGTCAAGAATGAAAACGACGCACTCTGAAAGATTTTTGTTGATTTGAAAAAATATACTTAAGGCTGAGCTTGACAAGCCTGACTGCCAGAATCGCCTCTAGTTAAAAGGCCTTATCAGTTTTTATCTCAATTTTCTACTTCTTGTTTATGTCAATTAGGCTTCTCAACTCTAAATAACATCAAAAATAAGAAACAACAAAGACTATGATTAACTGAAGAAGAAACGAGGGCTTGCTTATTGCACATCTGACCAAACATTGAAATCACATAAAAACACCAGACACAGGTACCACCCTAAATGAGCTACCCAAATAGTTGAATGGAAACACTGAAATAAACTAAGATCATATTTGTCATTTTTTTAAAAAATCTAAGGTTTAATTTCATAACATTTAAATGTATACTCGTTAAAATTTTGCTAAGTGTGTCTCGTGTGATATTTTCATTTGCTTCTAAGTTGTGCTATTGCTTAAAAAGGTTGAGAAACACTGATCTAGACATAGTTAGCTGTTAAGGACATGTCATTACCAAATTGGAATCCCCATATTATTAAACATTTGAAAAAATAATTTTATTTGATAAGTTTGTCGAAGGTATGAGGTCATGTGTACCTTTTAACACTGAGAGATATGAATAAGCCAATAATCCAAGGAATACATTTGAATTATGTATACATTGACCAGGCAAATTTTCTTTAATCTTACTGAATAATTTTTTTGGGACAGGAAAAAAAAAAAAAAAAAAAAAAAAACTTGACATTTAAAAATTGTAGTAACTTATAATTTTACTTTTTAGAAGTAACGAAAATTATTTTCTACACTTTCAAAATCAGAAAAATGAAACAAAAAGTTAAAGTTTAAATTTCTCTGAATTTCTGGGGAGGAGGAATGATCATTTACATGATTTACATTCAGATTAATATCTGTTCTTGTAATAACATTTCAGCCATCGTGACCTGTGGTCTTCATAGAAAATAGCCTAATGGATTGAAGTGTTGGTTTGTGAATTTGGTGACATAGTAATAATATTAAGTACAGCTCTCAGTATCCGAGTGTAGGTTCCATCAAGCTTCGACTCAAGGGTTTTAGTTAATATCCAGGCAGTGACACCATATATTAAAACTGATCTCTGTAGTGGCTTGAAAGAATCTCTGCTTGAGGTTGCCTGGTAAATCAGATTTTCAGATTACATCCATTTTATTCAAGGCAGCCCAGGCTTTAGCTATGTGAATTTTCACATACTTTTCAGTAGAATTTTTTCTCACATCAAGGTATGTAAAAGATTCAACAGATTTTCTGGATTCATCTGAGATAGTTTGTATTGAGCCTTGAATTCATCCAACTAAATCACAGCTCTATGGACCTATACCTGATATTTCTACAATGTAAAACACTGCTGGCAAGCAAAACAAGAACTTGTGAGGAATCTACAGCTCTGGACACCTAGCTATGAGGCAAAACGGGTTGGTCACCCAGCAACCGCCTACATTGACCAGTGACACAAAATACATCCCTAATGATCTTCCAAACTTGATGCAGGACTGCGATGATGGATGTGATAAATCCATGAATGTCCGCACTAACTCGACTGAATAAAAAAGTAATTTTGAGTTCAATTCGGAGTGGATGGACATAATTAGACCCCATGAAAACAGGACAAGCAATAACCAGACATACTAAACAAGAACAAGAGGAGATAACTCTAGACATGGATAACAGAATGAGAACAGAATTCATATTTACACTATTTACATTGTTTGGACTATTGTCCTCATCTTTATTGTCATATTCATGATGTTTAAGACATTGTCCACTCTGGCCTTCTTCAGGTGTTATATGTTGGAATTTCAAACTGAACCCATTTTTTCGTTCACTAGGGTAGATTGTTCTAGTTCCACATGCCATACCTTTTCTCGATATCTCAGTTTCAGTTATTTCCCCTTAGTAACTCAACTCTCCAAGTTGTTTGTTCACAGCTGCTGTGGCCAGGTATTGAACTCACAACTCTTTGGGTCAAGTTACTTGATTACTTCCATAAACACTTTTAGCCACTAGGTCATGTGTCCTAGGGGACAACAGCCAAAACATCATGAATATGACAAAGATGAGGACAACAGTCCAAACAATGTAAATAATGTAAATGATTACAATACCTCATCTCAGAAATATAGACATATTCTGAAGAAGGCCAGAGTATACAATAGTCGAAACGTCATAAATATGACAATAAAGATGAAGACAACAATCCAAACAATGTAAATAGTGTAAATCTCAATACCTCATCTCAAAAATATAAACAGATAAAGAGGTTCAGTTCAAAATTGTCTGACGGTTAGATTGACAGACATCTGAAGATGTTTGGAAGGCACAATGGATGAAATGTTATAATAATAATAATAATAATAACAACAAAAATGAAAACATTAGCCTAAATGCAAATAAGTAAAATTGTTTTTCAAGAAGTATACTAAAAAAAAAAAAAAAAAAAAAAAAGATAAAATTAAAAAAACATGGAAATGACAAAACTACAAAACATCAGAGTATTTTTCCTTTATTTGTGGACATCTTTATCTTCATAGCAGTTACCAGAAAAAAAAAGAAAAAAAAAAGAAAGATCTTCCGTAATTTCTTTTCTTCCAGTTATGACAGTTCATTTATTTTTGAATGCTGAAACACGTGACCCATACAAAATGAATGGATCAGATTATTTGATGGCCAACAAACAGAAGCAATGTACATAATATGCCATAATATATCTATTCCTTACCACTGTTGAATTGAAGTAATTTATATCATCCATACGCGCATCATCACCTATTTTTATGGATGTGTAGTAGTGCATGTTTGTCAGTAGAGGGTGTATGCATTTGTTAGTTGGGTAGATTGGGGGGGGGGGGGCAGTCATCCAGCCGGTCAACTTATGTAGTCTTTGATGATATAAAAAGAATTTGCATTTATTACAGTGCTCCATTTTCAAAATAATGGATTCCAAACAATGTTGTGTGCATGCAAAAAGACTGCAATGGAGCGTGCATCCATTGACATTATCGTTATCATCATCCAGGTGTGCACGGTTAGAGATGCTTATGGATGTTAACTGAGGAGGTTTCGAATTTCTTTGTGGATGTGGCAGAGGAAGTCAACGTAGGAAGAAAAGCCATTTGAGCCTTTATCCTCCACTAGGAAATGGTTGAACCAAGGTTCCAGTTCGTCACGTTGTCGTACAATGATCAACTGAAAAGAAAAAAAAAAAAAAAAAATTAATATGTTATATAAAAATATATATTTTTATGGTTTACCAACCCCTTTACAGGTTATTTAAAGCTAGATTTTTTAGATTGTAAGAATTTATTTTGGAGATAATGATTTTCTTGTATCCTTAAAAAGGTTACAAACAGACAAAGGCAGTACTTGAGTGGAAAGAAAAGCAACATGGGTGTAGATGGAAGAGAGAGAGGTTTATTGTAAAAGAGAATACACTACTGAAAGACAGGGAGTCGACTAACACTTCCTGAAGCCAGTCAGACTGATAGACAGACGGACTCTGGTGTGTCCTACATATATTACTGATATAGTCAGTCCACAATAGGTAATAGGGAGAGTGGAACATTTCATTACAACAGATTTATTGATACAAGTCTTACTAATTAAAGGTATTTGTGTGTAAATGAATATAAACCCAATTGGAACTCTGTTCCCTGATTTCCAACTGAGTCATTATCCATTACACCACCCGCACATCCAAGCTTACAGCATCTGGTATTCTCAAATGGTCACCTATCAAGATACTGACCAGTTTCAACATTGCTTAACTCCAGTGATCATATAGGAACTGATGTTTCAATGTGATAAAAAAAGAGAGAAAAAAAACCTCTTTCTGGAAGCAAGAAGCTTCCTTATTTTGTTTTATAAGAATCAGTCACTTAAGATCCATTCACGATATACACTTGGGCGATCATGTATCTTTTGACTCATGACTGACGAGGCAGAAGATTTTCTTACAGTAGGTTGCAGTTTCTTTCTGCAGTAGACTTTTTGCCAACCAAGGTTACAGAACCCAGTCTATCCTGTTATTCAACCAATAGCTGGGGGGGTGGGGGTGGAAGAGATACACTCATACTTTTCCCCAAGGGTATTAGCGCATAAATGAATGTAAAAAACCCAACTGGAATTTGAACTCAGCTCTCCGAGTTCTCGTCCCAAGTCAATATCCATTACATCACAGTACACATAAGAATACATTGTCTTATTAATAGCAAAAGTATACAAAGAGACATTTTTAAATGGCCAAACATTGTTGGGTGAGTGGAGTAGTTAATTACTCTTAAAGATTATAGAAGTAAGAGGAATCTATCAGTCTTAAGAGACAAATATGGTGGCTAGCTAATTCCTGTTGCAGATGCCTGTTTCTTTAATACCTTGGAGGCAACCTGTGGTTTATACCGCAACTATACTGAGCAGGACCTTAGTTACAGTTTCTGGGAGAGAGTGCATAATCTGGTGTGACGTATGCTCAAACTATCTTTCACAATGATGTGTTCTGAACAGTTTCATCTACCCAATCTCACTCAAAAGGCTTAGGATCAAACTTTCATGTGGTTTTCAAGCACACATCCCAATGGTGCTGAATATGTTGAGGTCATCTCATACAGTTAGGAAAAAGTCACCACCTTGTTTGCTAATGTTCTAACCACTCAGATATGCATCTATAATGACACAGATAAAGATATAGAATAAAGGTAGAATCTCGTTGAAGTTTACCTTCATTTGTCTGCTGCGTCCATTCTGAACTAATTTCATAATAGTCCGTATTCTTTGAGACAGAGGGTTATCCAATTCCATTAACTTACACTGAAAAACAAATTACTTCCGCATGAGATGCAAAGAAACAAACATTTCTATTTTATGATCATTGCAGAATATATATATATATATATATATATATATATATATATATATATATAAAATATATTTTTTTTAAATATATGTTTTTTTTTAAAACACATGTTGCAACCAAAATAGAAGCTAAAACCCCAAATTTAATTTTGCAATTAAATTAAAAGCATTAGTTCCATTTCATCTTCTTTAATGCTTTTAATTTAATTGCAAAATTAAATTGGGTTTTTAGCTTCTATTTTTGAAACATGGTTGAACTGTGTAAAAAAAAACATATTTTAAATCAATTAATTTATAATATTAATGCTCTGTAAATTTACATTGAGCACTATTTTGTAAAAATAAAAATATCTATAAGAACACCGGATTTTATATCTTACTGTTCTTTCTTTATATATATATATATATATATAAAGTTTTTTTCATTACTTTTTTTTTTTTTTAAGTTTTATACACTCAAAAATAAATATTTCTGGGAAGTTAACATCAACACAGTCTATACACTGCTATGTATACATTCTCTTTTACTGTCAAAATATGCAAGCAATAAGTTTGGTTTTGTCTGTTAATAAACTTGCAATCAATATTTTTTCTATTCTAACACAAGACAGCATAAGGCAATATAAAGATTATGGCTTGTTCAACAATTTGTTCATAGACTTTTTAACATTTTTCAGTTCATATTTCTGAACAGACTACATAGCGTAATTTTATTTTGTTTTTCATTTTTAATAAGTTTAATTTTATCCTTTTAATTTATTTTTTCATTATTTTTTTTATTAATTTATTTTTCAAAATTTTTTAATTTTTTGTTTGATTTAATCTATCTTCTTTATTTAATTTTATAATTTTTTATTCATTCTTTTTATTTAATTTAATCTTTAATTTAATAATTTTATTTTTAAATTTAATCTTTAATTTTATAATTTTTAATTTAATGATTATTTAATTTAATCATCTTATTTTTTTATTTTATCTTATTTATTTTTTTAATTTAATGTTTTTTATTTTTTTTTATTTAATTTAATAATTTCATTTTTTTAAATTTAATTTAAATTAATTTTATTGTTTATAATTAATTTAATTTTATGTATAAATTATAAAAGGCTAAGACAGTTACAACAATCACATTTCTTCGAGCAAACATTTTAGATGAATGAAAATACTAACATATGAAGTTCATCTCGTACCAATTATTACAAGCTGATACTCTCCTCATTTAATCTAATATGAATGATAATTAGGTAATTTGTTGTTTTTTTTATAATAGCTTTATGAAAACATTTCAAACCACAGTTAAAATCATTCTCAGCTAAACAAAAATAGCAGATTTGAGTAACATTATAGTCTGGTTAACATTACCTTGTCAATATCAATTTGTGCAGCACTTTGTACACCAAATACCATCTGAACCCATTCAGGACTAACATTGTGACCAAGCCACAAATGCATTGTAATACCATTTTCTGAAATGCAAAGACATTTTTAAATATCAATAAAAAAATATTTTATCAATAAGAGATTGTTCATTAGTTAAAAGTCATCAGTATTTTAAAACTATTATGCTACCCATAAAGAAATGAAGGTATCATTTATGTAAGAATTGACACTTCTGACTAGGGTCAACATAATAGGACCCTGTGAAAAGAATCACACATGATCACCCAAACATGATGCTGCGATTTTGAATCATACCCTCAGTTAAGCCATTTTCATATATGGGTAGCACATGTGACTTTTTAGTCCCGCAAGGGTCTTACATTTTCTTGCACAGATGTGGCAACAAGGGGTAAAGTAGCTTTTATTATTTTGATCAACTTTCAAATGTTTAAGCCCACCAACTGAGGTACATCCATTTTTTTCTTTTATATTTTTATTTTACACTCTCTGCAAGTAGAAATGTCGCATACCATATACTGAATGAGGCCTGCCCTAATCGGATAGATGTGACCACATTCATTACATGTTAGATCAAATTCAGTAGTAACATTTTCTAGAAAATTCACTCACTCTATATATATATATATATATATATATATTTATTAGGTCATTGCAAAAGTATGTGCTCGATTAGAAAATTAAAAATGATGAAATTCAGGCACAAACTGTTGCAATGCTCTGATATATAACTTAAAAGTTATAAACTGTAATATATGTGAATTGTAATTATACTTAAATCAATGACGATTTTAGGTGCTGCAATTTTATTAATTTATCTAAAATTGTTAAATATTAAAAAAAAAAAAAAGAAAAAAATTCTAAACTGGAGCTCTTTTCAAGATTAACTATTTGCACAAATTTCTGTTCAAAATGGAAGTATTTTGCTACACATAAATTCCCCTCTGCAAAAAGTTGTATAAAAGATTGGATCAGATAGGATAAATCTCATATTAAAATTTTAAATAACAAAACTCAGTGAAAAATCTCTATTTAATCAGTACATAACTTACCTAATATGTGATTTAACAATTATAAGTGAACAAAATGTTTTATCTAATGAAAAATCAATTTTATCTCATTAACAGATGTATTTTAAAACAAACTCATCTCCAAATAAACTCAGGTCACAACAAAATCTGCTGAGGATTGGATAGAATTTCTATTAAACTTGGAGTACAGATTGGAAAAAAAAAAAAAAAAAAAAAAGAATAATTGAACTATTTTAATTATTAACAATTATATATATAAAAATATATGTATATATACATGAGTGTTTGTTTGTGTTTGTGTGTGTGTATATATATATATATATATATATATATTATACACACACAGCCTTTATGTTCGTTTCTATATAATAAAATAAAAAAAGATTTAGAGATAAAAAAAATTATCTTTTTTACATTTTTTAAAAAAAATTCTATAAAAAAAATAATGTGAAGATATTAACTTAGTATGTTTCTTTTTTTTAAAATAAAGACTGGATACTTTCACTTAATTACAAAATCATCTCCGAGTAAAATTAGAATTTGCTGAACCAATATATCTAGCTTTTCTGATCAGTTAAGAATAATAAAAACATCACTTAATGCATAAATTATTCGGATGTACGAGTCTTTATAGTTTTGAATCAGAAAGGAGGAGAAAAATGTTATATAAATCATCTGATAAATTTTCATTGGGGGAGGGTGGGTGAATGCTTTTCAGGTGTCAACAAAATAACTAATTGTTAAATTCTACCTGATGATCATTTATATTCCAAACAACAAATAAATACTATATAAGTAATAGGTAATTATAAATCAAAATCTGAATCCATGAACATACACTAATGAAAGTTACACATACCAAGTAAGTATATTCCATGGTCATCAAGCCTTTCCTGAGAACACCTGACAGCTTTTGGTAGGTAATCATCTGCCAGTTCATCAGAAATTGATTCATCAATATGGTGCTGTAAAAAAAAAAAAAAAACTTTTAGTGCAACAGTACCAAAATAACAATTTTCATTTGCCTATGACTTTTTATATTGATGAATTAAAATGCTTACTATTTTGAGTGAAAGCGTATATCAATTTCTTAACAAAACAAAAAATCATAAAAATCAACGACAGACAAAAAAAAAAAAAAAATCAACGACAAAAAAAAAAAAAAAAAAAAAAAAAAAATCAAAAAAAAACAGTGCAGTTAATTAAATATTCTTGATGCCAATATGTTTTAAGTGGTGCAAATCTGGTTTCTGCTCATGTTTTAATTTACACTAAAGAAGACAATAATATCTGCAATGCATCAAGCCAAATGTTTAATATCTAAACACCTTTAAAATAAGATGGCTTCTAAAACAAAATATATTTTGACACCAGATTTAAATTGTAAAACTTCATGTACCAAAAATGAATTAGACCATGGGAATTCTAGTCAAGTTTTCTAACTACTGACTATCCTCTGAGTTAAGCATATTTATGCTTTGCCAAAATATGATTTTGTGTACTCAAATGTACTCAAATATGTCAATTTCAAACAAATCCACTTAAGCAACTAAAATATATATATATTTTATAATGTATCCAAACAATTTTACCAAGTCTATTAGTTTAGTTACATTGAAATGTCTTTTTCTATTTATTAAACCCAAGCAATAATTCTTTCATAAAAATTAAGCAATTCAAGTACTGGTCAAAATCTTATATTGCTTATTAAAAACAAAAAAATAAAAAATAAAGTGTCAATATCGATTGAAAAAAAATGGGGAAAGAAGGGGAAGAAGAGAAAGAAGGAAGGGAAAGAGAGAGAAAAAAGCCTACCAGTGGTAAGAGTCTTGGATAAAAGAACACATTTGTAGCTTTCACATTCATGGCATTCAACATCAAAATTAAGTAACTTCTGTCATCAGTTGAAACATTACATCCTGAAAAAAGAAAGAAAAAAAAATGTACATATTCTCTGTTATTTGTGTTACACTGGATAAAAACAAATGATTACAATTATTTTCTTTAAATTAAACCACTTCAAAGGAGTTTATCAAATGCTACTTAAAATTTCAGTTAAAATCATATCTTATACAAAAATTCAAAGTGTCTTGCTAAAAGATTTACAAGCATATAAAATAAAAACTATTCTAATGAATACAACCAACAAAATATCTTCAATTACAATAGGACTTTGCAGAATGAGTTTAATTAGTTCCCAGACGAGTGTATATTGCAAATTACACATATTACAAAGCATTTTTATCCAGTTAAATAAATGGAAGATTAATTAATCAGTTTCAGTTCCTCCAAAGCATCCAAAATGTCTATTTTAGAATTAAAAATAAATAGTAAGAAATTAAATAACAAAAAGTACATGAATAAGAACATAAGAGAGAATGAAAGAGATAAACAGCTTTTATTAAACTACAAACCTTTCATAAGAAAGTTTTTGGCGTTTTCACTCAGAACTTAAGGATTTTTGTGGCATTTGATTTGCTTTTGGCACTTGGAGGTCGTTTCTTTAGAAACTTATCAAGAGAAATCTGTTTTGTTCTTGATTTCAAAATGTCACAAAAATAGTCAACACAATTTTCATTGAACAAAGCAGCCACACGATTTGCACTTAATTTTTGTGGGTGGTATTTTTGTGCACTTTTTTTTCCATAACACCAGCACCACTTTGATCTCATTTATGGGAGCAACCTCCGACACATTTTCTTTTTTGGCTCGTTCCTTTACCTCCTCCATGTTTTGATGCTCCTGAAGCAGCTGAAATTCCTCCATTATCATTTCCTCTTCCAGCGCATCGGGAAAGGGAGGCAATCAATAGCATTAGTAGGTGATGTTCTGTGATAAGTACTTCAAAGTATTTTCGCCAATAAAATGAATACATGTTCTAGACGTCAGGTGTTTATAGATATGTTTCACCTTGCCTTTAACCATGTCGTTTCTTAGAAATAGATAATGTCAGCTGACAATGCTTCCTTTTACCTCAGTCACTGACTGCTTCCATGTATATGATGGTTGCTTGTACTGTGAATTTTTACCAGTCCTATGATACAAAAGTGCTCACGAATGGCAGCTCAGAAAGAAAATTGCTCATAAAATGGTGCACTCATACTATGAGGTTTTACTGTACTGGCTTACCTCCCTTGTCAATAGTGTTATATTACATAAAAATCTCTTTTACAAAGTCATGAAGTATTAAACATCCTCATATACAAATACAAAAAACAATTTTGGAAAATTAATGCATAGTGATAAAAATTTCTGGGATGAGGAGTTATTTATATACTACTGCCCTCATCTTTACTGTTAACATTTTAGCTGTTGTTCAATTGGAAATTCCTTGAAGGTTACCTGGATCAACAGACCCTAGAGGTATCCAGCTGAATCGTCATGATAATAACAACAAAGCTGGGGACAATAGGTCAAAGGTAAATAATGATGATGATAATCATGGTGGTTCCATTCCTAATAAGAGCAAAAATAAAATGTTTACAAGATTGAAAATTTTGATATTTTTTTTTTTTTTTTTAAATTTGAAGGTACTTCTAACATCTCCGCCTAAACTCTGAAATTTTATTTACTTTTTTTTTCCTGAATAAAGTTTAGATAGGCTTGCCTATCATCCGGTTCACTCTTTCCTGGTCTTTTGAACAGGGATAAAGGTTTATACCTTGTTTCCTGTTTAGGATTGGGTTTCCAGTTCCATCTAAAGTCTACTTAAATTCTATACTTCTAACATATTGGAAAAGTATTTCTTATTGAACTATAGCCCGGTTCACACTCCTCCCTGATCTTTTGAAGAGGAGTAAAGGTTTATCCCTTGCATTTTAGTGGCATTATCAACTTGCTTAGGGTGAATAAAAAAAACAAAAAAACAAAACAAGAATACCTTCAGAATTTGTACAAATTCAACTTTCTAGACTATCAAAACTAATTTCTGTTACTTCTGTTATCACATTTTGTCTGACCCATCCTCTAGACAATTTCAGGGGGGTACAATCCATAAAGAGAGGGATCTCCTTTTCCAAAAAAAATATTGGTGAAAAAGAAATGGTGGCAAACATATCAAGGACTAGTTCGGTTCATTCCCAGCAGCATGAGCCACACAAGTAGCAATACCAATCTTGACAACACACAGGATTTCATTTTTCTTTTAGAGATCCTCTCAATTATTTCTCATTACTCAACAAAGAAATCCAAGCCTGTTTTCTCCTGCATTTCTCACTTGTGGAACTCTCTTCCAGCCTCTTGTTTTCCAATCAACTTTCATCTTCAAAAATTTAAATGCAATGTCAATTGTTATCTTGTCTTAATTCCTGTTCTTTTATTGCTCTCCTTAATTATGTTTTTCTTTTTCTCTTATTCTTTCACACTTAGGAATCCCCTCCCCACACAAATATTTTAGTGGCTTTATTGCTTTGCTTGGGATGAAATGATTTGAAAACTTTTTTTTTTAAAGTAAATACTGTACTTACCTCCCTGAATTGCATCACTCTTTATAACACAGTTGGTATAAAGAGGCAAGAGTTTCATGCATTCTGGTAATATTAACTGACCAGCAGACGAAGGGCTGGCACAATTCTTCCGATAACAGGCTAAGATATGGGCCACTTGGTTGGCCATATTTTCTCGTACTTGTTTAGGTGTACTATTTAGAGTGTTACGAATAGCTGTAAAAATAAATAAAATGTAAATTATTAATATAATAAATTCATAAAAGCTTAATTTAATTTGGGCTTTACTATTTATTTCAATCTCAACACAGTAAGAATTCATTTACATATGGAAATAAAAATATATATATATATATATAATTTCTTGAAGTTATAATTTACAGATATTTATAATATAACTGTGCAACCTGTTGAGTAAATGTTCAAGAAAAATGAATGCAATCTGATGTAACCAGAATTAAATTATATAAGAGCATAAAAATATCTGGAATATTGAGCTTAGAAATTAAAAGATTCATTCCTTGACAAAGTTATAATATAACTTAATATGAGTGTGAATGATTTATTATATATATATATATATATATATATTCTTTTCTCTTTTGCCACACAAGATTAAATTATAAACAACATATTTCAATAATGGTCTATGAATTTCTTACATGAAAACATCAGTTTTCCCTTAATTTTTCTTCCATCTTATTTGTTATTTCTTTGCACACACATTGTAAAATACATCTATTGGATGCTTTAGTACACATCATCAGTGATGTTTCTAGCTGAGGTTCATTAGGGTTTTAGGGTCTTTCAACATCATACCCCCACTCCACAGTGACCCAGCCGATACTGATCGGGTATAGACTTGTGCATCTTCTGTCAGCTACAATTGTTTCCATCTTCCAAACTACACACCATGCGACTCTTCTTGGCAATTTATTGTCCAATCCTGGATGACTTCTGATTCACCAGCAATGTGCGCTCTTCCAGAAAAAAGGAAGCAAACGCAGACACAATTTCTAACTGATCAGGAATATGGCAGCATGCTTGGCTTGAAGTGATAAGTACCAATTTGATTCCCCTCACTGAGACATATACACACAGAGAAACGGGCTCAAGGCTCACATTCTACTTACACTTATCCCATTTTCATTCATGTTAATCATCTGCTGAAGAAAAAGGGGGAAAAAAAAAATTTGATTTCTTTTCCTCCTTCCCACCCCCTTAACCCTCCACCTATGAGAGTTACACATTTATCAACGCTGCCACACATCTATAAAAAAAAATAATAAAAAAATAACCGGGAGGGGGGGGTCGTCAGGGGTACCCTTATGTAGATTGAGTATCTTTTATCTGAAATTTCAAAATCTGAAAATTTTTCAGGTACTGACATGACTTGCCATAAATCAAAAATTTCAGAAAGCAACATGGCTACTGGTAGCATGATTATTGCGTTGCAGTGTTACAAATAAAATGCTGACTTTTTTCAGTTTTCATTACATTTAACTGCAATCAGAATCCATGTTTTGTTTTTATACAAATACTGTACCTCTATGTATTGTAACATTTTAATCAAAAAACAACATTGTTGGTCTCTACCAACAATGTAGCTTACCAAATTTTCCTTCTCACACTCATAGTGATGTGATCAATGATGTATTTTCTCCCTTCAGTTTCTCACACCTTATTTAGTAGTGGTGTTTGGTGTTGTATTTATATATTTCTTGTAATTAGTGTTTTTTTTGTGTTTTTTGGGGGTTTTTTGTACACATACAGAAAGTACAAATTATTTTTACATGAACTCTTCATTTCACCTCTTAAAAATTTGCATCATTACCTGTATCTACACAAAATTTATTAAATTTTATATAAAACTACCATCAGGGTACATGTTATTTATATAGAACTGCCGTCAGGGTACATGTATAAGCTGTGTTATGAAATCTAAAGTGATTACCCATCTGGGTACAGACTGGGCTCAATGTTGCTTAACTTCATTGATATTTGAAATTTTTTATTTCTAAATCCTAAATATCTGCAAGAATAAACCAAACAATCTGAAGATATTCCTTAGAGATGAAAAGAAATAAAGTTATCACATTTAGCAAATATTCTTCTTTTTTTTTCAACTTACCTTGTTTTGCTAAGAAATTAATAAGAGTATCCAATTCACAATTTCGGAACAAGTCAGCAAACTGTGTGCAGCAGTTAAGCGACAGGTTGTGAATTCTCAGTCTTCTAAATCCTCCAACACTGGTGTATAATATGGCAACCTGAAATTGTCCAAGAAATAATCTTCAATCATTTACGTATCAGAACAAATTTACAGATAACATTTACTTTTTGTTTTTTTATTATTCATTTTATATACTATGTCTCTTCAGAATGTAGTTTTGTTCATGTATCTTCACAGCTTCCTTCCTTTTGTTGCTTTCAGCAACTTTCTCCTTTTGCCTTTGTCTTCACTCATTCATTTGTGAAAACCTATGCAGGTTACCTGCTGCTTTACTGTTTCACTTGCCTTCAATTTGCCTTATGAGTGTTAAGTTATCCAAGCCTGCTTTCCTTCATTATGTGAACAGAATATTTCAACTGTGTCTGATTAACAAATTTCTTTTCATTCCTATTTTCTAGAAAAAAAGAAAAAGAACAAACTTCCTTATTGAACACTTGGTCTGTCCATTATTTTCACAATATTTATTAGTAAAACCACATGTTTCAAATAAATTATTTTTTTATATTTATGACGAAACTGCCAAGCATTCATTTACAATTGGTTAATAGTTGCTTCTAACTTGAAATATACAAATTACGTGCTGAAATTTTTAAAAATTCTCAGCATTATTTCATATATATGGGTGCTACCAGAAATACCTTCCACATAATGGTAAGACATTAGCTAAAGACACCATTGCCAGTAATGCCTTACCATCATGTGTGAGGTATTTTTTGACACACACTGTACAATTTTGACAAATTATTTTTCATGTTAACAGAGTTATCCCCCTTTAATTTCAGATAAGTCTTTCAGAGAAAAAGAGCATTTACAATTTAACTTGAGTATTATGCGGAATCATTAAAATGATAACAATAATGGTTGCTTGTTGATGTGGGCAGGATATCGCACATGCTTTCACACATTGTAGAAAATTTCAATGAGTATTTACGTTTTTTTACTCTCCCAAAATATTTGAGTCCAGTCTTGTATATTATGCAACTTTCTAGTTTTGCAGGTAAAAGGCAAGAATAGTATATTCATGCGTTTTACTTAACCCCCATTTAATTACGAGCAGAAGATATAAAATTATTTGATTTTTAGTTTATGTGATACATTGTCTTATTAACAATTCTTGAAACCAGTATAAATGCCTATACTTGGATATTTGTAAGGAGCAAAGGTGAGAGTTTCAATCACAAAAAAAGCATCCGCTGAGTAGAGATAATGGCACAAGGAAAAATAAATTAATATGTTATTGGAGCCAAGCAAAAGTCATGAGTTGGATGTTTATGAAAAGGGCTAAATATGAAGATATGTAAAAAAGATTATATAAAAATTAAAATAGGAAAACCATGACATTTTCATGGGTATTTCTAGTTATTAATAATATAGTCACTATAGCCAAAACATTCACTAGTAAGGTTCTACCTGAAATTTAAGATCTCAAAGATTTACCTGAATGTATGCACCATCTGCAGAATCAAGCTTATCATCATGTTTGATCTCCACTGATATAGACTGGTCACAGTCTATTGTGGACAATTCCACATCTGTAGTATTGGTCATATAGAAATTGCCATAGAAGTCTACAGGCCTGATTCCTAAAAATAAAAAAATAATTAAATGAAAATTTCTACAGCTTTTAGAATATTAAATATTCAGCATGTTAAAGTGAAATTTCAAATCATACAATTTTATTATTTTTTAATCATTGTTTAGTTTAAAAATGTGTTAACTTTTTCTTATCCAAAAATAACAATGAGGAAAAAAAAATTGAATTTTAAACAAAAATTAATATTTTTAAGTACATTTGAAAATTAGTAATAATAAAGCAGGTAGTCTAGCTAATGGTTTTATTAAGTGTTTATTTAAAAAAAAAAAAAAAAAAAAAAAAACAAATTAATAAAAAAGGGAAAAACGTCATTTACTATAAATACATGACTATAAATATGCTAACAATGATATCTCATGGATGCAGCCATTTTGGTTTCAATCTTATAGTCTTCAGTACAAACTAAGGTAAACCACACTCTCCAAAATACAATACAATAAAAATACAATACAATAAAAATACATCAAAAAACAGGTTGTATAGTATGCTGTTATATATCTACAATGGTTTGTAGATAACACTAGCATTAGTTAATTGTACAAACGTGAGGGACAGACATTTCACAGTGTCTTAAAAAAAAATATATTATAATAATTTTTATGTCCACAGCAGCAGAAGTGATGGGTAGATTTTGAAAAAAGTAATACATCAACATCAAGAATTAAGTTTTCTAAAAGATGTTTAAATACATCCACAGCAGTGAAAATATTAAGTTTCCATATTCCATTGGGATTGATTGTTTTTTATGGCTTAACCCTTTTTGGGTTATTTAAAGCCAAAGGGTTTTTTTGGATAGTAAGAATATTGTATATACTCAAGTATAGTGTGAGTTTTTATGATCAGATTTTTTTTTATGCAAAAAATACGGTTTCACACTATAGACAGGTAATTTTTTTTTTGAAGAAGTTAAAAATCATACATTTTCAATGATCAGTTGTACTATACACAGGCAAATTTTTTCTGGAGGGATTAAAATTCATACAAAAAATTCAGGGGTGACACTATAATGAAGTCAGCTTATAAACTAGTATATACGGTAATTTTTTTTTTTTTTAACCAGTAGATATTGCATTTACAGTTTTTGGGGAGATAACTAATTTTTCCAGATACAAGTCCTACTATTTAACCCATAGCTGGGAGGGACATGTAGTTCCATTGGGATGTAGAAACAATAGATTGACAATGGAGTGTGAAGGAGATTAAATGAGAGATAAGCAATCAAAATTATTTTTTATGTGAGATAGTATTTAGCAGTTTATTAATCTGAGAATATGAAAATAAAAAAGAAATGATTAAATTTCATGTAAAAAAAAAAAAAAAAAAAAAAAAAAAAGTTTAAAAAAAATTGAAGGGAGACAAAAAAAAAATTAGACAACTTGCATACCTGTGCTTGTACGAACTCGAAGTATTGCATCAAATGCAAAAGGTCGACACACATTCCGTTTCAAATCATTGATGAACCTTTGTCCATCGTTTTCAGCCTGAAGTTTATGAAAATGAGGTTAGTAAGAGAATTAATATTTTCTTAAATAATTGTACAAAATTTCTGAGTCAGAAATATATTTTTTTATAAGACACTTTTTGTTTTTGCTTTCAGCATACAAATCTGGAATAATATAGTAAATTATTTCATCTTTTAAATAAATAGTATCCACCACTTGAACAATTAATCAAGAACATCATAACGAACTTATTTACTTTAAGAATACAGCTTCAGTAGATGTGCTATCACTTTCATCTCTGATATACACAAATATTTCTTTCATTATATATATATATATATATATATGCGCGAAAAGATGGGTAATATACTGCATGACTGCCAGATTCAATCCTAGCTCTCAGAGTCTCCAAAGCAAGAAGGTGAAAGTTACAAATTATTTGCCATGTGTTTTTTTTTCTATAGTTTGTTCTTAGACCACTGCCTTATTTAAGAATTAAACACTTTGAATTATTATGATTTAGTGCATAAAGGACATTGTTTTTTATATTTTAGCAGGCATATAAAAGTGCATTTTTATATTATATATATATATATATATATATATCTATATCTAATGCCTGAAAGATTAAGTTCCCTGTTAAAGCAAAAAAATAAATAAATAAAATTATTTTTGCTTTAAAAAAAAAAAATCTTTGTTATAGATAGCAATCTGGCAAAATGGCATGAACATGTGTATAAAGCAGAAACCTATCATCAAATTCATCTATGTGGAAAAATTGGATTCATTGATGTTTGAACATTTATGGAGACCAAACATTGGAGATGAGAACAGTAATGTGGGTAATGCATTTTAGCAGGGGCTGTCAATCTAAAAAATTTGTTCTTGTTCATTGCTAATGTAAATGCATAGCCAATGGAGTTGACTATGTCAAAATAGTTTTGTCATTGAAAACTTGCTCCAAGTGCTTTCTATATGTTGTAATTTCCATAGAAACAGATGTTATTTTCAGAGTGTCCATCACAAACAGTTTAGTTTTTTGTAACTTTCCACTTTTCAATTGTTGCACAGCCAAATTAAAACTGGACAAACATTCAAAACTCCTGTTTGGTTGTTTCGCTTTTGCTGGAGTCTTTTTAACCATTAAGTAAGTAAATGTTGTCAGCATCATAGACAAGAGCACATATAAAGTGTCTATAAACCTGTTCTTGGTGCTTTCAATCTGTGTAAATTTGAAATGTTTAAAAAAATCTGCCAAGATACAGCTAAAAAACATTTGTTTATGACACTGACTATACTTAATAATGGCAGTCAAAAGTACTAGAGCAAAAAGATCAACTTTGGATAGTTTATCCACAATTCTGATCTGAATGTGCAACAATTTATCTGAAAATTGGAAAAATATAATAAAAATTAAAGACAGACAGACCTTAATGTTGCATACAACACTCTATAGCACCCAATGCAAGGAATGATTCAAAACCCTGGAAGCTATTATTAAACAAAAAATACAGCCCACATTAAATAAAATATCATTCACCACAGGAGACAGTATCTTGAAATGTATATGATATAATTAATATGCACATATATCATATTAGTTTAATAAAAATACAATAAATAAATCACATTCTTTTTGGGCAGCCTCATTCCCAATAGCCATTAAAGTGACATTACATCAGACTATTTCAAACTCCCCCACCCAAAAAAATCTACCACACAGACACCACATTGGTTCTTGATATTGAATGCAATAGTCGAAAGCACTTGAACAAAACAATGAAAAAACATGAACTTCAGACAATACTCATCACCTTATTCAGAGGTTGGAAAAATATAATAAAATTAAAAAGACAGACTTTGTTGTTTCTTTTTAGTCAAACTTGATTGGATGAATACTGGCTGTCTATATATACCTTATAACACACACAGGGACAAAAAAAAAAAAAAAAAAAAAAAAAAAAAAAAAAAAAAATCAAACTCATACTAATAACCAGTGCATAAATTAATGTTTAACTTAATACAAAAATGAGAAAATCTACTGTCAATTGCTGAAAACTCCTGATGAGTGGATGGAACGATTGCAAAACAATTTGTCTACAAAACTCAAGCTTTTATATTGTTGCATTATTAGATTAGTTTGTCAACCTTCAAAAAGTAATTCCTAGTAATATAAGCCCAGTTGATAAAAAAGACTATAGACAAGAAGAAAAGAAAAAAAAAAAAAAAGAAGTGAAATGACAACTGTAACTCCCTTTATATTGCCACTGGAGCCACAACATAAACATCAACAGAGAAATATTTTTATTCTCTAAGTCGAGAGAGAGTGAATGAGGAAAAAAAAAAAAAAAAAAGACATTTTTAAAATGATACTTTGGGGAAAACAAGATGTGTGGATTATAAGATTAGCTGTAGGTAGACAGGAAGTCGATTCTTCTTGTCTTTTTCAGGCTAGCCTACCTAAATAAATAGGGTTTCTTTCTCTTGTAAGTTTTCATTTAGCCTCACACTGATCAGAGGAAATGACGAGAAGACTAGCATTACCTTTTGATACTGTACTTCACCTTGTAACAATTTTTGTTTTAATTATTTTTTTTAAATATTTAAAAAGAAAGTTCAAAATCCATATTTAATATTTCCTGTAGTAGAAATGTGAACAAGATTTTGTTTGAAAATACTTAACCATATAGATTTATGAAATTGGGTTCTTGCTTTTTAAAAATAGTACAGAATAGCAGAATTTTTTACCAGTATGCAGGTTGCTTCAGTTTTTGTGTAAGAATTAGTACTCAAATTGCTTAAATTTTTCATGCTTAGTCTAATAAATAGAAAAAAAAAACATTTCAATGTAACTAAAACTAATAGTATTTTTTAATATAGAACCAAATGTATTGAGTTGGTCAAAAAGTTTGCTTGATTATTAAATAGAAAATTTACTTAAACCGAACAAACTTTTTGGTCAACTCAATATTTGCTAAGTTTTTGTTTAATTTTATACCTTTCTTTTTCACTTTTATTTTAAGTTGCTTAAGCCACACTGGCATAAGTAGTGAGAATGCTTTAGATTTAGTGAAATTTATGTACACTTACATACAAGTTACTTATAAAGAAAAAAAAAAATTTAGTGACAAATTTCGAACTTGAAACCATATCACTGATTTCAAAGTTCAATTCTATGCTCTATACTTGAAGAAGGCCAGAGAGCACAATGACCAAAAGGTTAGGATAAAGATGAGGATATTAGTCCAACCGTAAATAATGACAACTCTTTGCCTCAGAATTTCAGGCAGACATACATGCTTCTTTTACTGGTTAGGATGAATGGGGGGGGGGGAACTCCACTTACCTGAAAATAGCTATATTTGTACATATTGCCTCCAGTAAGACGACAAAGTTCACTAATTGAGGCAACGTCCACATAGGAATTGGGAAATAGGAACATGTCAACACTGCAGCCAGCTGCAACACACTGCTGTCCAACTTTGGTATAGAAATTGATCTGAGGCGTCAAAAGAGTCTGTAAGAACAATTGTTGAGAGAGGTTTTAACAGAAAACATTACAAGCAAGATAAAATGACATGATGCTTAAAATTGTGAGATTTTATAATATTCACAGATATAACTAATACGCCAGAAACATGTAGCAAAATGCTTATGAAAACTTTTTTTTATTGAAAGACGTTATAAAAGATTAGTAACATAAGCATAAAGTCTCGTCTGCTTTTGTTTACCATCATTATTTGGGAATAATGTGAACAATATACAATTCACATTTGTATTTTTTTTAAACTGCAAAATGAAACATGCAACTTTTAAAATGAGATTTTATTAGACATTTACTTTAAAAAAATCTTAACTTTTAGCACTCTGCATTATTAATATTACTTCCTTTTCTACTGCATTCTTTTTCAAGGCACCTCATTTACAGTAACCTTATTGTTAATTTCACTCAAAGTTGTTTTCTGTTGCCATAGCAGGACATGACAACACATATGAAATTCAAACACACTATAGTTCAGGGATTAGAATCACCTTCTGTGGCAGGTGAAACTTTTTGTATAACAAATGAAGTCGTATACAGAGTGATAAACGTTAAAATGAATTGAAAAGCCAAAAATCAATAGAAGTTGATTCAAACAAATAGTATTTCTACTAGTTTTGTTTTTTTTTTATTGAAAATCTCAAATGTGATTTTCTTCTCTGGTATGGCAAAAATAAAGAAATTTGTTTTCTGGGACAAGGACATTAAAGAAAAAAAAAATTACATTTTTTTTTTTTAAATGAATGTTATCAATTAAAAATGAGATTAAAGCAGAAAATTTTATTTTTTGAAAGTTATAAAGACAAATTTTTCCTCTCATTATTATTATTAAACATGTCCCATTCAAATGGTAGTGAGAAAGCATCAAAATACACAAATTATCAACCACAAGATTATTCTAATATAAGGAAAAAAAATTTTAAATTATAACGAAATTCCAGCACCAAGAAACCAGAAAAGGGAATAAAACTGACACCAAAATCCCAAAAGTGTGGGAAAAAAAAATCCTTTGTGTGAATGTTTTTTTTTTTTTTAACCCAAATCTATATATGACACCAACAAATCCAATATTTATGAAAAGTGCTTGCTCAGGAATATAAACTAATTTTACAAACGTTTTAAACATTTGTAATTAATTTTAATTTATAGTTTAAATTTCTATCAAACTGTACACATTTTACTACATTAAATGCCATTTGCAGATTGAACAAGTACAAGGGGGTGCTGAAAAGTCCTTACAAAAAAAAAGAATTATTATTTGGCCATTTATTGAGATTTTAGGAAGTGAGTTTGTGAACATTTTAGCATCCCCTTGAACATAAATAAATTGGCAGTTTGAGGATGGAAAGTAGTAAATTCCTATTCAGTTTGTACATAACTAATTTTCAGCAGAAACACATCCAAGTTGAAAATATAAATTTCAAGTGACTCAAAGCTAAAATGAAGCGGTGAATAAAATTTAGAAAGAAATTAGCAGAAACTAACAATTTTTTTAACCATATACAAAGCAACGGCATTTTGATTTAATGAAAGCTTGTGATGCTGATCCTAAAACATCTTGTGAAAAGTTATAGAAAATTAAAATGCATGTAAAAAAAAAAAAAAAAATAACTCAATAAAGCTATATTTATTTTGAAATTCTTAGATGAAGCTTTTTCACTTTTATTATTCCAGTACTAGTCTTAATCCATACGTATTTCCAATTTCTGGGATCCAGAAACTGCTTTTTTTCCATTTTCCAATTTCAATCAGAAATGGATGCAGAATACTTGTCCCTCCTCTTTTACAAGCAGAAACACACAAATGCATGCTGGGATTTTTTTTTCTTCGCCAATAGGCCAGTCTGCAGTTCGACATGACTCAGTCCCAATCTGCCTTGTCTAGAAGATAGAATGCTACATTTGCTTGTCCAAACTTGTGTGTTGATACCAATTCTTAGTTTGTGAACTTTTTGCCTTCTTACCTTTAATTTGCCTTGTATATATTGTTTGCTTGTTTGATATTATTTCATTCTTTGCCCCTTTTTATTGCAAATTTTGTTAATTCTATTTGCTGAACATTTCTGTTCTTTATTTTGCATTTGACCATGGCTATTCACTCCAAAACAATCTGTTCTAGCAGATGAAAATTACAGACTCAGAGTTTATCAAAGTCAGATTGCATTTACATACCAGCAAGTTTTGTTTTTTCCCCCATTATTTTTTTTTTTTAATTTTTAGTAATTATTGAACTAAGAATGAACACTATTGAAATTATCCCAGTTGTGCTCTGCACCAATTGTTTTGTTTTAAAAGAAATCCAACCAAATTAACAGGTAATTTTAATTAAAACCACAAAAAGAATTAACCCATTATGCAAAAAATAAATTTTCCTATTTAAAGTATTCTAACTTTTCTTTATAGAATATTAAAAAAAAAAAAAAAAAAATTAGAATACTTTAAATATTGAATAAGAATAAAAACAATACCTTTAGCTCCGACAATATTTGCTAAAAACAAGAAGTCATGCAAATA